ATCATTCCTGAAGAGCAGATTCCAGAACATCAGCCTGGCAGGATCCCTCAAAAGTATGACAAAGATGCTAACGGACTTTTGGATCAGTCCGAATACGAAGGTTGGAGAGCAGCTGAAAATATCATAGTTTTGCCTTTTGAAGCTGTGGATAGAAACGGTAAGTTGAAATTTAAAACTTCACATTTTTTGGTAGAGTTCAAGAATAGTTTAGATCTCGTATCAGATACTCTACCTAAAAAAAAAGAAAGATTATTACAGATCGAAATAATAATAAAAAAGAAGGTGTAGGTACAACATTTTTCTTCAAAGGAAAATAGTCAGAGCGACAGACGATCTCTGTGACTGACAGTCAGGGTTATAAACGTTTTACTGACCACATTTCCCAAGTTTTGTAGGGAAAATATTTTAGTGACTAAATTATCCTACGTTGTTAAAGTATGGTGAGTCTGTAAAAGTAGAACTTTCGATTTGTCTGCAAAATTTTGCTGTTTATCACGTAAGTAACACCACAACAATATGTACAATGATAGTAATAGTATCCATTAAGTATGTCTACAATGATAATAATAGTATCCACTAGGTATATATACAATGATAATAACAGTATCTATTAAGTATGGTGATAGTATCCACTAAGTATGTCTACAATGATAATGATAGTATCCACTAGGTATATATACAATGATAATACTAGTATCTACTAAGTATGGTGATAGTATCCACTAAGTATGTCTACAATGATAATGATAGTATCCATTAAGTATGTCTACAATGATAATAACAGTATCTACTAAGTATGGTGATAGTATCCACTAAGTATGTCTACAATGATAATGACAGTATCCACTAGGTATATATACAATGATAATACTAGTATCTACTAAGTATGATGATAGTATCCACTAAGTATGTCTACAATGATAATGATAGTATCCACTAGGTATATATACAATGATAATAACAGTATCTACTAAGTATGATGATAGTATCCACTAGGTATTTCTACAATGATAATGATAGTATCCACTAGGTATATATACAATGATAATAACAGTATCTACTAAGTATGATGATAGTATCCACTAAGTGCCTGATTCTCTTCTACGGTTTAGCTCATTTGACTGCTTTAGTTTAACCTTGATAAACACATTGATCATGGTCTAGAATAATTAAATTTTTATAATGTTTGAGCTTTTCACGATTAGCAATTAATTCCCACCACGTAGCAAAACGTTAAAAAAGTCTTATGCGCTTTTAGTAATATTCGGTTTAATTCAGAACCAAACTGAACAGTTTGATAGCACAAAGTTTATCTTATCTTTTACGGAAATCACAACAATGAGAGAATTATAAAACATGGTATCCACTAGGCACATGTATCCTTTATTAATGCACCAGGACACGGTTTGGTGGCCCTATTGACCGCGTTTATTTTGACAAAGTATGGTGAATGTGCTTGAATACAAATCTGTATCCTGTCAAATCACTTTGTTATGTTAGATTATTCGACAAATTTTATAACTTTATGGAATCATTATGATAACAGAGCATTGAAGTCAATAACTACCAGTTACGCTATATTGTCACCCAGCAATTATAGGCCTATTAGTCTTACATCAGTCGTTGGAAAAGTTTTAGAAAGTTTGATAAAAGATGCTTTGGAAAGTCTGATAAAAGGTGCTTTGCAAAGTCATTTAACAAAGTTTAGAATTTTATTGATAATCAACACGGTTTCACTAAGGGAAAATCTTGCCTTACCAATTTTTTGACATTCTTTGAAAAGGTTACTGCATATGTAGATGAGAGTAAGGGTGTAGATTTGGTGTATCTGAATTTTCAGAAACCATTTGACAGTATTAAGGTTAACACACTGTTAAGGTTATTTCCACCCAAATTATGCTTATAATTCAAATTATGATAACCCACATGCATTATCTTGCATTTATTATAATTAAACCCATCTGCCATTTCTTCACTTAACTCACTAAATGATCTAAATCATTTTGTAAAGCAGCAGCATCCTCTTCACAGCTAACAACACCCAAGACTTTAATATTCTCAGCAAATTTAAGTAATTTATTGACTATTACTTCATCTATGTCATTGATGTAAATCAAAAAGAGCAAAGATCCTAAGACTGAGCCCGTTAATTTAAGCTATCATTGTATATAGTTAATATTAGCTATATACAGTTCCGTATATAGTATGAAATTACATCATTAGTTTAGTTGCATTAGTTTTGATAATTACTTTTTATCATATTAACGACTGTTGTAATTTTCTTTTCTAAGTATTATTACATTTATTGAATTTTCTACTTTTTTTTTTACAGAAAATTTACGTTTTTATTACTTCCTATCGTGTTTATTGTAGGGGTAGTTAAAGCAAGAGCAGTAAAGTTTTTGGACATATCATATATTGTGTTTAGCATGTTATTTTATTTGTACAACAGTTTAACATTGTTACATTTTCATGGACAGTTCAGGAACTATCTTAGTTTTTATTTACTATATTTTACCTCCATAAACATTAGTTTTCGATTGTACTGTGGAAATAATAAAGCTACAAATTCGACACGCTTTAATTAAGCAGTACCGCTAGACAGTAGGGGGTGGTTTAATGAGTTTTCTTTTTTTAAAAAAAAACGGGCTAGAATGAAATGGTGAAAAACAAACAGGCATGTTATAGTAAATTCACGTTTTCCAAGCAAACGTCTTCTACGACTATAATTCAGGGCGACACCTAGAGTTTCTGTAAAGTAAATTATATTATATTATTTATTGTCACTTTCATTAACAGTAATGGTTATACTATTTAGTTTATCCAATATCATTATTTATTGTTTATTATTATACTTATATCATAACAACTGTTTTGCATTATTAGCTTAACATATATACTTAGGACTAATCTAAAGCTCCTAAACTGGTGGAACCTCGTGAAATATTATTGGAATTACAGTTAAATATATTGTTAACAGCGAGGGTACTTAAATATATTGTTAACAGCGAGGGTACCCAACTTTTGAAACAATGTATTTTGATATTTACAAGTAAAAACGTAAGAAAGGTATATTTAATTAGCTATATTGACTGTCAAGTTGATTTTTACTTTCGCTCTAAGTAGTTAAATTTCTTTGATCAGAAGTTAATATTATTGGTTGAAACTTGCCACTTATAAAACTAAAAAATATATCAAAGTTAATAAAACTTTATAGAAACAAAAAAAGAAACATCAGCTTGATATTTAGTGCAATGACATTTACTTGATATATCAGAACCTAATTTATTGGGAAATTCTCTAACATTTCATATACAAGTTATAAGTACAAACAACTCCAGTGAGTAACAGTTTTTATTAATTCTTATTGGATTTATTTCCATTGTTTAAAGGCAGAAAAGCGTTACGAGTCAAATAATACACCTTACAAGTAATACATCTTACAAGTATTTTCTGTCAAGTAATACATCTTAGGAGTATTTTCTGTCAAATAACATATCTTACAAATAATTTGTATCAAATATATATAAATTATTTCAACTGCTGGGAACAAAAGAAGGCCTAACCGTTTTTGTTTCCAAAATTCATATAGCAAGTAAACTTTAAATATCGTTTACGTAAGTTTTGTTGTACTCATTTAAAACAAAAATATCAAGCCTTTAGTAAGTAAAAATGTTGTAAGATGTTTTGTTTTCTTTACTCTAGATGACGGTTATGTCAATAACATGGAACTCCGGGACTTGTCGTGGTCTTCTCCAAACGAACTAAACGTGCCGCTTCCTGGATACGATGATGACAATTATGTGTTTGACGATATGATGCCAGCAAACGTTTTCCTCATAAATGGTGTATCTGACATGGTGAATACGCCTTTGTTTCCTGAAGGTTATCGTACAGAAGAAAATTATATGGGTGTTGTAGTTCACGCAAAACCTAATGGTGACGTGGTAAACCTATTAAATGTGAATCCGGTAAACAATTTTCCAGATGATGACATTAAAGATGAGTATGAACCAGAAATGCCTAAAGAAGAAGAAAATTTAACTCCCATAGAAATCCAACATCCTCAAAATGAGAAGAAGGCAGAAGAGACCATGGTAAATAAACCAGAAGAGGATGGTTTAATTGAGTCCATAATTGACAAAGAGAGTATTTTTCCTCAGACTAAGGAACCAGAACCTTTAGATTCTCTTGATGAAGAAGTCATCGATGAAGTAAATCCTGCTGAAGAAGGAATATATCAACCAGAAGATGGTGGTTTAACCGATTCCATGGTTAACGAAGAGAATATATTTTCTCTGTCTAAGGAACCAGAACCAATAGATTCTGTTGATGAAGAAATCATCGATGAAATGAATCCCGCTGAAGAGGGAATATATCAACCAGAAGAGGGTGGTTTAATCGATTCTATGGTTGGCAAAGATAGTATATT